TTTTTTTTTTTTTTTTTTCTTCCCTCTCCGGGTGATGTTGCTTCTTTTCAGTGCCCTCCTCCTCGGGTTGCCTGTCTCCCACCCATTTCTCTCTTCCTTCCTAACTCTCATTCCCCTTCCATCCTTAATCTTCCCACCCCTTCCTCTCATCTGAGGCTGACCCCTCTCTCTTCTTGCCCCTCCTTCCCAGTTGATCCCTCCCCCTGCTCTGGATCTGCTGGCTGTGGGATTTTTTTCTCGTGCTCACTGGCAGATGTGACAGCTTTTGGAACTATATCATCTAGGAACAGCTATATCTGGAGTTGAAAAACCTAACGTGGTTTCCCAGGCAGCAGGAATGGATCGCTGAGAGAATTTCAATCTCCGACTGCTTTTGTCTTGTGGTAGTGACTTTTATTATTTATGTTTGTACATTTCTTACAGTACGGTTGTCAGCACTGAATGAAAGACTAAAGTCTAGTAGATTATTATAAAATCAGTGTCACAGTATTTGTGTTGTTAATATTAAAGGGATGCTGTCTGTGTTTAAATACAGGTTTGGCTTGATTTACAAAATCTTATATGCATAAAATGTTCTTATGAATTTCTCACTGACTTAGAAAAGGCCTGGTTTTATGTGTTTTATTTAACAATAAGCGTTCTTTAGCTGGTATTGGAAATACAAGTAAACAGCTCTTGCATGAAAACCACAAAGTGAAAGGAGACTGGTTAAATACAGATCTCCTCAATGAGATGCAAAACCTACCAAGATTATTAGAATTCATTGGATTTCAAATAACTATTTTTAGTGTATGTATTTAATTTGATCCTAATGCCGTTTACCTTTAAACCACCTGTCTGATCTCTTTATAATCAGGGATTGATGCTGACCATATAAAGCAAATGCCATTGGATGCCCAGGGGTGTGTTGTATTTGGAGCTGATTACATTTTGTTGTTTTTAAGATGTCTGTTTTAAGCCAATAAGGTAGATGCAGACCATGCCAACCAGTCTCCTAAAACAGACCATGAACTCAGTAGGTGCTCCTTTCTGGGTTTTGGAAGCATGCTTTTGGCTATGGGATCCAAGTATAGTCCACATGTTGATTGTCAGGGATAGGGATTTTATGTAAATATACAAATGTACTGTTCATGCTTCTGCAAAGTGAGTTGGTGAAATAGAGCCACTGTTCTGGTTGGGGCCAAAATATCACCTGGGCTTTAATATTTTGCATTTTGAAGCACCTAAGCCAGAATCATTCTCCTTATGGGGAAATACCTGACATGTTCAGAAAACCATTGATGCTACAATTGCTAATGATTGTGGCATTTGTAACACCGTGTTTTACAGAACCCTTTGCCACATGAAGCACTTAAAAGAGCAAACTTGAGACTGTCTGCTATGCCCTGGGTATCGTCTCATTATGAAGCTGTGAAAGTAGGAGCAGAAGAAGAGGTACTGGTTGAAATAGTAAGATCACTGGGATTGCTGTGGCCAGGTCAAGGTGGATCAAGGAGCTGTCATAACTCACATGTAGTCAAGGGTTCAGAACTGAAGCACTTGCTGTAATACTGCAGAGATACTCCCTGCTTTCCTTGAAGGCTCTCAAGCTCCTCAGCAGCTCCAGCTGTTGGTTTGAGCACTAACACCACAAGCTATTAGAGTATCTTTCCTTTCTGGGATTGTCTGCACTTTTTTTTCCTTAAAGAATTGCCCTCTGACTTTTAGTCTTGATTATTAGTTAATAAGCAGCACCTAAGGGGCCTGAGAGATTAATCACTGTGTTTGAGGAGCTGCAATACAGACCTGGAGCACAGACACCCTTCCCATAAGATGTATTTGAGTTTTCGTTGGAGCTTGTTCTAAGCAAAGATTATTCTGGCTGCAAAATCTCTCCTAGGCAGAGCAGTTGCTTCCAGTCTCTTTCATAAGTGGGTTGTTGTTTTTTTGTTTGTTTTTTGGGTTTTTTGTTTTTTGGTTTGTTTTTTGTTTTTTTGTTTCCTAATCTTTTGTTTTCTTTTTCACCTGGGAGTTATCTTTAGCAGGCTGTCGCAATGGACAGAGCGTGTGAAGTTGGTGTTTCACCAAGGATGGGTTGCATGACTGGGGGATTAGATGGAGCAAAGGTCCTTGTCAGCCATACAAACACTTCCTATCCCTGTGACTGCAGGGTCGTGGTAACCAAACTGGGAGCCGCTGTGTATTGGATTTTCAAGACCCCAGTCTAGCACCAGGGAGCAAAGTCATTGTTCAGATGGTGGCTGCACTTTGCTCCTTAAACAAGTTTAGAATGGGGCAACCTGGAAAATGTTTGACATAGATTTCACTGTGATGTGCTGATTTTGGAGGCTGATGTCGCCTACAAGTGTGCTCATGTCTACACCATAGTGGGTTATCTCTCTATGCGGTCTGTCTCTCTGACCCTTGTAAATATTTATCCAGCACAAATAGTTGGAAGCTGAGGTCCTGTACAGGGGAAGAGTGACTGCTACAAAGTTGAAGATTAAGTGGCAAAAATCCTCAGCCTGGTGTTAGGGAAGAGATGGCATTCATGGCTGTAAGCAGTGTTAGTGAGAAGCAAATGCCAATAGTAATGTTGTCTGTGGAAAAGGAAGAGCATAAAAATGTTATTTTTGTTTATTGGGGGATGTTAGCTGCTTTAAAAAACCTGTGCAGCTTTTTCCCAAAGCAGTGAGTAGAGTCATAGAACATTTCAGGGGAGAAGGGACTTTGGGAGGTGCAGCCCAACCCCCCTGCTCAAGGCAGGGTCATCTTGGAGGGTCAGGCTGGATTACTCAGGGCTTTGGCTTTGAGAGCAAACCCCTGAGGATGGAGCCTGTCTGGACAGGCTGCTCCGATGTTGGACTCTCCTGGTCACAGGAAAGCTTTTCCTTCTATGCTGTTGGGACCACTCCTGTTTTGATTTATGCCTGTCTCTCACTCCCACCACTCCCACTGTGAAAAACCTGGCTCTCCATAGAAAATCTCCTTGCCTCACCCTGTCTTCCCTGTCTGGTTTTTGTGAAGAGGTTATGTCAATCCACTGCAGTCTTCCAGCTTTCCTGCCTCTTGACTGTATACAGAGCTCTGCTTCATTTTCCTTCATACCTTCCAGATTTCAGAAAGGTCCAATCTCTTAGCTTTCTATCTAAGTATCTTTTTTTGGTTATAAATTCTTAATTCAGATTTTGAAGTCTCTTGTGTTTGGGTATATTTCAGTGTTAGGTGCTTCTGGCTTGTTGCACTTGCACTGGCTGTTCACACAAGCTGTCTCTCTCAGCCCCCAAGGGAAAAGAATCTTAGTTTTTAATTTTAGCTTCTTCAGCTACCTGCTGACAGAGTTTTATTTCCACCTACCACCTCCTCTCTCCCTCTCGAGCCCTCTGTCTAAGCAAGAAAAACTGAGATCCAGAGTCAGTCTTGGGCAGCTCTTCCTTTGGCAATAGTTCTGCTGTCTTTAAGTGGGAGCCAAGTGGATATTACTTATTTGGAGTAAGCAATGAGAAGACAACCTGAGCCCTGTTCATAGCCACCTTAAATTTCAGGCTTGTGGTGGAATCAATTCTGTGTAACTGGCTGGACTCCAAAGCCATTTAATGTAGTTACAAGCAGGTAAAATATAAATATGTATATCTTAATTACTTTTAAAATCATTTTATCAGGCAATATGAATTTGTAGAAATAAGGGAAGTCACTAGAAGTCACATCTGAGCCGTGAACCTGCAAGGTGGCCTTGGGCAAAAATCATCTCTCTCTTGGTGCCTGTTTCTTCATCTGTAAAAGCAGGTGATCAACTCCTGATAAAGTTCTTTTCACTGGAACATGTTCTCAATACAGCATAATTAGCTTGTAGAATTGATACCTGATTTTACTGCTTGGGCACTTCAGCCCTAGACAGGCACTGACGGTGTTGCCTTCTCCCCTTCAGGCATCATGTTTCGTAAGAAGAAGAAGAAACGCCCGGAGATCTCGGCCCCGCAGAACTTTGAGCACCGTGTCCACACCTCATTTGACCCAAAGGAGGGCAAATTTGTGGGCCTGCCACCTCAATGGCAGAATATTCTGGACACACTGAGGCGCCCCAAGCCAGTGGTAGATCCTTCAAGGATCACAAGGATGCAGCTCCAGCCTATGAAGGTAAGGGAGGGAGACAGTTCTTTCCTGCTCCTCAGGGAGTTTGTCTCCAAGTTGAGGCACTGTTTCTGGTGCCCCATAAATGGGACTAAGGGTAGTATCTGTATGGAATTCAGTGGGTAGCAGGCTTTGATAGCCCAAGGTGATAGCAGCTTCATCAGGAATAAGGACAGTAGGATCCTGACCTGTTGCTGTCACTGTTGAAATAACCAGCTGGCTGCCTGTCACAGTGATCGGGACCTGTGAAAGCTCCTGTGGTTCCTGACAGGAGCCAGGATGCGTTCAGCTGTCGTACAGGGAAGTCAAGAGAAGAGTTCATGGAGAGACCTGTTTTAGCAGGTTTGTCATTCTCGTGGGTGAGCAAATTTGGCTGGTAATTAAGTTGCCAGGGAAGCCTAAGTGGGAGAGAGAGCAGTGTACCACTGCCTTGCTGTTCATGAACAAGTGAGGACAACAAGGACTGAACTAGGGTCTGGGCTAAAATGGTTAATAAACCAGGATTTTAATAGAAAGTGGGACATAGTAATGGGACAATGTCCTTCAGTAAGGAAAAACAAGTGATTCCTGTAGATGGGTGGGTTTACGTGGCTGCTAGTACTGGCATCTGGAGACTGTGTGACAGCAGGAACATGCTGTGGGAAAAGGCAACTTTGTGTTGACCTTTCAGGAGAAGAAATGAAAGATGGTGACAGAAATATTGTGCTTAAAGTCTTGTTTGCTTGGGAGAAGTTTTTGTTCCCAGTTAAAAAAAAAACCCTGCAGGGGTCTAAAAACTGAAAGGTGTGTTGTAAAACAGAGATGTTGCTTACCTGCTTTTAGGAGGGATATAAAAAAGAGTTGGCTATCTGATGAATATATTTAGCTTTTTGTGTACAGGTGCTTTAAAACATGGGAACTGAAGGGGACTATATTTGGTTTAATGTGAGCTTCAGTACCTAATCAAACCTGCAAATGAAATGGTCCATCAGGATCTTTGAGCAGCAGGCTGGTTTATAAAGGAAAAACTTGCTTAGGAAGAATAGGTGGAAAAAAAAAAAAAAAGCAGGAGGTATTTCCTGGTGTCCTGAATGTGCTTTGAGGTTCAAAATGTAGTAGAGGAAAGGAGCACAATCCAGAGAAGAGATAAAATGTGTAATAAGAGACCAACTTGGTTAGATCAGGAGCTCTGTAATGAGCTTAAACTGCAGGAGGATTGCTCAGAAGGGTGGAAACTAGGTCAAGTTATAAAGGGCAAAGAGAAAAGAAATTCATGTAGGAGCAAAACTGGAAGGCCAAGGCACAAAAAGAGATGATATTCTCAAAGAACATAAAGGGCACTAAGGACACATCATGAGTGCACTGAGGAGGAGAAGGAGGATGAAGGAAAGAATTTATTCACTGCTGGTTTTGGAAGAAAGTTAACAGATGACACTGAGCATTCCTAAGTGTTTAATGATTTTTCTCTGGTCTTCATTAGGTGTGATCAGTGGGCTGACAATTAGCATGAGCATGAAGGGATGAGAATGCAGGCCAGAATAAGAAAAGAACAGGAACAGAAATGAGTTTTATCTAAGAAGTTGCATATTTTCAAGTCAGCTGGGCCTAATGAAATTCAAGGAATTGCAGATCAGTCAGAATAATTTCTATCCCCAGAAAGAGACTGGAACAAATAAGCAAGTAATCTATTTGCAGCCACTTTTAAGGAGATAGCAGCCATAATAGCTGGCAGACAGTATGGATTTATCAAGAAAAGAATCACGTCAAGCAACCCAATTTTCATTAATCACAGGGTAGGGGGCTTTGGGTCGGGGGGAAGTGGTAGCACTCCCCTGTATCTTGACTTCAGTGAGGCTCTGGACACTGGACCAATGGCATTTCCAGAGCAAACCAAGTTTCCTCAAGCATTAGGCAATGGATACTCAAAAAATAGTGTGAGGCATCACTTTTGAAACAGAAATGTGTGTGAAGAGATTTCCTGGAGTTTGCCCTGAGCCTTATGCTGGTCAGGACTTTCATGTCTGACTTACTAAACCTGAGGGTGGTAAAAGCTTGAAAGGAGGTGCAAATCCTTAAGAGAACAGGGACAGAATACCCAACAGGCTTTAAAAGCTAAAGAATCATCTTAAATGAGCACTGTTTCTCCCAGTAATTCCAAATGCAAATGCTCTCATAGACTACATAACAAAGCTTACTGTTTCTAGTAAACTCCATTTGAGTTAATTCCTGTTCAATGATATCAATAAATTGGATATTTTTCTTTTTCCAAGTGCTAGTTGGCCAAGCCCTTATATATAGTCCTGGATTCAATTATCAGAGTAGTTCCTGGGTTTGTGTGTAGCTTATAAAATGGTGCTTTTCTTACAATTTCTTAGTTTTGGTCAGTAAGGCATGAGCTGTGTAGAAGCACTCCATATAGATTTGGCTCAAATTTGGATGTTTCCTCAGTAATCTGATGTAGCCCTTAAACACAGCAGTGAAGCAAGATTAACTCCCCTCTCCCCGTCTGCTTGGGCTAGGTCTGACTTCATGGGAGTGACCTGAGTCTAATTCTAAGGAGTTTTAGACAGAAGGGGAAAAGAGAACTGCAGTGGATTTTCTGGAGAGGCTGTAGCATATTGTTGGAGACTTCTTATTTTGAGAATGTGCACATCTTTCTGGAATGACTTTTGTCCATTTCGGACAAAAAGTTCATGTCCCCAGCACATTGTTCTGTGACAGCAGCTGGGCTGTGGAGGAAGTGGGGGGGGGGGGGGGGGGGGGGGGGGGGGGGGGGGATGCAGCCCCGAATTTCCAGCTGCAGC